CGCCCCGAGGCCGGCTCAGCTGAGGCCGCTGTGTTCAGGGCATAGCCCCTGGCCACTGGGAAAGGTGTGGGCGGGAGGCAGCCCCAGGACACGGCGGGCCCCAGCGCCCGGCCACTGCACGCGCCGCCCCCAGGCCGGCTCAGCCGAGGCCGCTGTGTTCAGGGCATAGCCCCTGGCCACTGGGAAAGGTGTGGGCGGGAGGCAGCCCCAGGACACGGCAGGACTCAGCGTCCGGGCCAGGCCTCTCTGCCAGCTGTGACCCACCCAGAGCGAGGTGGCGCCTGGCGGCAGGAAGGAAAAGCCCAGGGCAGAGGGGCGGGGAAGAAGGGCGGAGGGACCCACGGCCAGCCTGCGGTAGGGGGGGGTGGAGCCAGTTCAGCCCCTGGCCCAGCACCGCCCAGAGTCCCGGAGCGCTGCAGCCTCGGGGAGGCGCGTTCCCTACCTCGATCATGGCGTGCAGAGAGGTGCCGAAGTTCTTCCTGAACTCCTTCCTGATGTCCAGCAGGTCGACCTCACTCCTGGACACCATGACTCTGATGAGGGTGTGGTCGTCCGTCCCGGCGCCCTGGGGAAACGAGCGGGCGGAGAGGCGGCCCGAGGCGCCCACCGTGGGGCCGCGCTCCCCAGCCAGCGGCGCCAAACTGCGCGTTTCGAGGGCGGAACCCGCCGTCCGCCGCCCAGGCCCGGCGCGGCCGGGGCCACTCACCTTCATGGCGTAGTAGAGCGTCTCTGCCAGGTAGGCGGGCACACTGCGGATGGATTTCACTGCGCGCAAAGAGACCAGGTCAGGGCGACCCGACGGGAGGGGACGGCTGCGCCCCGGCTGCGGGAGCTGCTGGGGAGCTGCTGGCAGGGGGCGCCGAGCGCTCAGCCCACCCGCCGGGCTCTGGCCGCGGCTGCCCGGGCTGAGGGAGCGGCACACGGCCCGCCGGAGACAGGCCCTGCTCCGTTTCCCCTCGGTGAGGCAGGCAGCTGCCAGGTTGTATTCCAAGACGTCGGGGCGCTGCTCCATGGGCGCGCGGGCTCCTCGCCGCGCCTACCTGCTCCAGGGCTCTCGCGCCACGGCTCCCGGGAGGCGGCGTGACACGCACGTGTCCCTGCCACACCGCCACAGCGGTGACCGACAAGGGCCTCGCGCACAGACACGCTCCGCTCCTTGGAGACGCGGGCGGGCGCTGCCTGCCGAGCCCCCGCGAGCCTGTCCTGGGAGTGGCAGACCCCGGCCGCCCCGGAATAGCGGGGATCGCCCCCCACGGCACAGGCCACAGTCCTGCGGACTCGCTCGCCGGCCCCTCAGCCACAGGCCCACAGCTGCTGGCCCAGGGTGCTCTCGGCCTTCCCACAGCGAGTCGGGGGACGGAGCCCGGGGCGCAGCGGCCACAGAGCACGTCCGGCCGGCGGGGAGAAGACTCAGCCACCGCCAACAGGCTGGCACGGGGGGACAGCACTGCACCCCGGCTGCCATGAGCCCCAAGCGAGTTGGTAGCCAGCACAAGCTCAATTCTGGAAAGAGAACTGCTCTGGATCAGATGCAGAGTTCTCGGGCTCCCTGGGAGCTGAAAGCACCCAACTCCGGAGAGTGCTGACCCCGTGGGAAGGGAGAGGGCGTTCTGCTGCGGGGGAGTGGGCTCGCCCAGGTGCTGGGGGGGAGTGGGCTC